ATATATATATATATAATATATGATTTTTATAAAGGTGGCTCGCGCGCGGCATGGAGAGGCCGGCCTACAAAAGCGTTTCAAAAAAAAAAAGAAAAAAAATCACAGCGAAGAAAATGGGTGCATGCAGATTTATCGATGATATGTATATGATATAAAATAATTGAAGTGTTCTCGCACGATTGCAATTTTCATCGATCTAGGCTCCTATTCTTGAAAAGAAACGTATACGTTTTTTTTTTTAATCAGAGAAATACTATAGTATACGTAACGTATACTGTAGAATATTCCTCAAATTTTTCGTATACATTTCTTTTCAAAAATAGGGGCTTAAATCGTAACACTTATATCGAAACAATTCGATAACAAGTGTGATCGTGCAACATTGTCTTCTAAGGCACAGAAGTTTTAATGATTTTTTTTCTTAACTAGCGGAACAATTTACATACGATTGCAATTTATCGATTTACGAAATTAGCTGACTGATTAAGCCCGGTTCAGATTGTTTGCTTTCGTCATTAACAACGAAAGTAAAAGAGAATGCGCTTTTAGAATAACCACACGAAAAGTATAGCAACGAGAGAAAAACTTAATTATCGAGTTTAATAATTAACTGTTATTTCAGCGCGTTCAATTAAATTTTCTAACGGATGCTATTAAAAATTTCATTAAAAGAAGGGATTAAACGTAGTATGATACTGTGATTTGTTACTCGTTCACCGATAACTAATCGAACAGCCCAAGATAAGAGCAGTGCTTTTATCGCTGGCCTAATGTTACTTATAATTTAAGAGGTCCAAAATATCGATACTGCTTTAGTGCTTTCTCTCATCGTGTTAAGTCTATTAGAGAAATTATATTTTGTTTATATGTATAATTTAGTTTTTTTTTTTCTTATTTAATCATATACGGGTCAGAATATGGAAAGAGTATTTAATTTAACATAATTAATGTATTTTAATTTAGATGTGAGAGAAAGGAAATATCATTCGGGGTGAAGCACTGAATCGGCCTTAATTACGATACTCTACAGTCTATTGCAGAAACGCGCTCGAAGTGACGGCGCGTGTGTATACATACATGTATTCATGCATGCACATCGCATAACACACATACATACTCGCCATATCTATATATACACTCAGTCACGCAGCACTCTCGTATTTGCGAATTTGCGCACTGACGAGACATTGGAATGAACGAACTACTTTCTTGTCTTTTTTTTTTTTACGCGGATTAAAAAAGTATAAATTTTTTCACGCGAAAGAAAAAAATTTACAAAGAACTTTTTGATGTGCGAATTAATTACGGAATGAAATGATACTTTTTCGAGCTGACGATTACTAGGAATAATTTTCGTTGATCAATCATTGAATCATTTTGAAATTTCTTTGAGAAATGTTGTATTGATTGCTATTATTGTGTGATGCACATCGCCTTGATAACGAGAAACGCCACGATCAAAATAAATAACGAAACAGTGGGAATGTGGAGAAAGACACGCGTCTATTATCCTAATTAATGTACTTTACTTCATGTACGTTTGAATGAAGTTTTATATCACTTTAGCAATGCTATTTACTCCGTAGAAATATGTTTCGTTTCGCTAACTGGAACTTCCATTCATTTATTTTTTTTTTTTTCATAAAGGGCATTTTTCTCTTTTGTCGCATTCGCAGTAATATCGCGGATTTGCATCTTTTCATGCTTACACGTGTGTGTTACATACAGAGCATGCGAACGCCACAGTAGAAGTACATCATAGCGTTTTGACTCTTCGATCGTTCACGTAGTCATCCCAGCATAGACAAACGAGCTTGTAAATAGTCACCGAATGTTATACGATTACAAAATAACGAAGTAATTACGACGGTGACACACATCGCGGGGAGGGGTTTCGCTCCCGCGAAGTGGAGCCTCTCGTAATCAAACCCCCGTTGTTACCAAGCGCCTACGACTATACGATTAGCATGTTGCTCTGAACAGAGAATGGACCTCGCGTACAAGTCATTGAGTTAGAATATATCGTAATCTCGTCTTTGAAACACGGATTGGAATTAAACGAGACAAACCTCTCGTGCGAGATGCGGAATCTTGGCCAAAAGAAAGGCAACGGAGAATCTTTGATAAATCGTAAAAGAAGATAGAGTGCCAACGCGAGAACGTACGAAATTTCAGAGTCCACTTCTCTTTTCGGATCACGGGAGAGTAGTGTGTGCATATTTACCTGTGTACTAAGCATAGTAAATAAAAATTAATTTCCAACGAAGAATATTAAAGGAACGGGATCGTTCGCAACATTTACGCGTATAGATAGTTCGCGGAGTAGGTTTAAAAACAAAAAAAAAAGGGTATCGGAACGATGGAGTTAAATGAGCGAGAGAAAGAGAGCGAGCGAGAGAGAAACGAGCGACAGTTGTGAAAATGGAAAAAGGATGGAAGGGAAGATTGAGGGATTTTGACTGGATAAGTAACATACTCCATGCCTTATAATAATAGGTAATAAAGTACGCGTAAGCATAGATCTATTTAATTAGCGAGTTAAGAATTAGGGAGATCGTATTGTGTGTTCTCTCTTTCTAGCGCACTTGGCGATGGGAACTAAATCGTTAAGATGAAACGGAGAACAATTTTTATTCGTCGCGATAACGTACAGCAGATAAAAAGCAGAGCTTTTGTGTGATTAATAAATTTTTCAGCGGCGCGGCGTCTTGAATTCCCAGCGCTCCGTGCGTGCGCTTTGTAAATGACAAGTGAATGCTAATTGAAGTATTTGGGCGAACAAAAGTGCACGATGATCGAAACAAACGAGATTCTCTTAAATTATATTCCATGTACATCCAAATTTATTACACTTTCATGAATGCTAATTGCGGGCAATAAATGTACGTTAATACTTTATAGCGGTAAAATGAATAAAAGATACAGGAATACAGAAATCGGAAATGAAAATTATCGAAAATTATTCGCGTCACTTGTTTCGTTCGTTGTGCGCTTTCGTTTCTTTCAATTGTAGTGAGTAGTGAGCATCCCTAAGCGTAGTAGGGAAAGTGATGCCGCTAAGTCGAACGATGCTGCGTGATTTGGTGTAGTTTTTAATTGCTTTTTACTACGAGCCGAGACGAAGTAATGAGGGGGCGAGGGAGGGAGGGAGGGGGGGGAGGGGGAGTAGAATTAGAATGCACATCGTAGTTTGTGACTTGTATGTTTTGAATCATTATTTTGAAATCCCATTTTGTTTCAACTAAATTGTTTCTCAGTCATTTACATTTGATATTACATTTCTTATAAATATACTGGATTTCGTATGGGTGATATTAATATTTACAATTAAATGTCAAAATTTCAATACGCTGCAATAATGCTCCTTGTTATTCCTTAAGAAACGTCGTTGCAGTGCAGATGTTTCTGAATTATGATCGACGTTGCAGCTTTATCGAATTAGTAACGAAATTTAGAAATCAGCGACAAAACAGCAATCAGCAACATCAATTACGAGCAATTTGCCCAAAGATAATCGCACCTCTTATGGTTACCATGTTAATAACTCGGACAACATTACACTGAAAATATGCGGATATAAAACGTCTTATGCCCGCATTTTGAATGTAATGTTGTCTGGAAGAACACACCGAGCGCTTTATCTTGTAGGTAACGTGTAGTCCCTAAAAGCTGTGAAAACGATAGCGACGAAATCGATCGTTAATATTTATTTAGATGCGCGATTCACAATAGACGGTAAATCATCCTGGAGATGGATGTTTTCTTTTGTCAAACCTTACTTGTTGAATATTAACTCTAATTGATATGATTTTTACTTACAGAGTGTAAGAAAGACTGGCAGACCTTGCATTATGGTAACAATTCGTATTTACACAAATCTTTTGTAATATTCATTTGAACATTGTAAATTGCGTATTTTTTAATATTATTTATGTATTTATATATCAATTATTATATATGAATACAGGAAGATAAGAATTAATTGGTAAAATTTTTAAATAGATATGTATTTTGTTTTGTAAGGTCTAATCAGAATCTTTTTACACTATTTAGGATTGAAGTCCTTGTTTATAGATTATTTCATACTCATAGCATTGGCGAACAAGTTTCTGGGAATTCTTTGGGAAACTACAACAGTAATGTCATTATTGAAAGTTTTCTTTTACAGAATCAGGAATTTATCGGGAAAGTTTGTTCGCGATTTGAACAGTTTCTAAAGAGACACTTCCACAGAAACTATTCGCTAGGAAAAATAGCGTCACGTGGTAATACTTTTAATTTGCAGTAGGTATCCATTTTGTTCGTCGATTTGATTTAATACGTCAACAGAATTCCTAATTGCGAAAATTACAAAATAATTGTAAATTATTTACAAGAGTGATATATCTGGCGAAATTTTTATTTTTAAATTGT